CCCGTTTTCCGAATTTTGCTTAATTTGGTCGGAAATTTGTAATTGTGCTAATTTGGCTTTTCTGAGCTGATTAAGTGCATTTTTGAAGTGCAGGAAAATTTCGGAAATACAATTTGGGACATCAGGAAGAATGCCAAATAAATTCAAGACTCTCCAGACAGACATTTTTGAATTAATTAAATTGTAATTCAGTAGTTTAGAATTTTTGTATCAACTCTTATATTTTGGGTCAATTTTTGGTAAATTAGATTAGACCCAAAAATTAGAAGTTAGTGAATTGGCACCCTAGGATTTTAGTGTGTGGACCCTACCCTAAAAAAGTGACACACGGCCTTAAAGGGGGGAGCAGCCGCCACCCTTACGGAATGGGCTCTCTCTTGGCAACGTTTTTTTTAAGTTTGGAGTCAATTAAGAGGGAGGTGCGAAGTGTGCTGCCACGGAGAGTCATACGGGTTTTCATGGGCTTGGAACGTTTGTTTTTTTTCTTTTTGGATGAGGAAATTAAAACAGATATTGTTACGCTGGTGATTGAGGAGCTGGATGCTAATCTCAATTTGTTTTTTTTTACTCATTGCCCCTTTTTCATTTTTGGTTCATGCACTTTTTGATTGAATGTTTCAATCCATCAATGTCACGTGCAGCAAGGAGAAGCAGCCACTTGTTTTAGGCTTGGCTTTTGAGCGTTTTTTTTNGGGAGCTTGGAACGTGTTTTAGGTAGAATAGTGTTTCAGGAAAGAAGAACACATGTATTAATTGGAGAATAGTGTCTCGGCCAGCGGTGCACAGTGTGCTTGTCACGGGTTGATGATGATGGGATGGGAGAAGTATATTTCATTTTGGTACTGCACGGAGAATGAAGGGGGAACACCTTTTAATTTTAATTTCAATTTAGAAAAGGCACATTGGTAGTGTGGTGTGTACGACCGAGAGTGGGATTTGGAAGAAAAGAGAATGGTTTTTGATTTAAGCAAGGAGCTCATTGATTTGATGGGAGTAGGTAGTAGGAGCACAAGGTGTCACGGTCTGGCTGGAGGAAAAGGGGGATTATTCATTTTTTTCTAGAGAATAGGATACAGTGGTTTATGGATAAAGGGGTGTGCACGGTGATGGAACACGGTCAAGGCTAGAAAGTTTTATTTATTTTTTTTGTTAATCATTGAATGAAAACGGTGCAGAGGTGTGGGATTTTTATTTGGGAAAAGCAATGTAGCGAGGGAGAAAAGAAAGAAGTGCTGTCACGGCATGGAGAGGTGCACACGGTTTGTTCCAGGAGGTTTCTTGATTTTCCTTCTTCTCCTTGCTTGAACTAAGATACCCAGTTTTTTTTTATTCTACATATTAAGTTGCATTCAGCATTGTTTTTATTTTATTTCCGCTGCATTTGGTTTCTAGTGTTAACGCATTGTGTTTTAATTTAAGTAGATGAGTTTTCTTATTTATTTATTGCATTGCACTTAGTCCATGCACTTTTACATTGAATGTTTTATTTTAGTGTTTTCATTTAATTTAGTTGTAATGTAGCTTTAAGTGACCAATCATTTTAATTCTGTGTTTATATTTGTATTTATATCCGTGTTTAATTTCCATTTTAATTTAAGTTCAATTACTGTCAAAAACACTTTCACAAAACCCCCCCCCCCTTTACGTGTGACCTGAAACTGAACCGCATTTGGTCCTTGAGAGACGACCTAGGAGTCACTTCCTAGTCTATACTGCATCCTTTTATGCACAACTATTGTTGGGAGGTGCGACCCTCTCATCACATGGAGAACATGATTGTGTTGATAAATTGCATTTCACTGTGCTATATAATTGATTTTATTGGTTAATGCATGTCTGATGTTTTATAGAAAGAAAACCACAAGCACTTATGCTGAACTTTTTATTGTGTGGCAAAACAATAGTTTTAAGTCGACTTCATTATGGAGTGAGTCGATTAAAACTCGTGGCTTTGCACAAACTTTTTCAAAGTGTGCTGTGAGGATTTTCAAAGAAGAAGTTTTTCAAAACTCTGTTTAATTGTGTTACATAGTCAATTATATGCAACTTGCATTCGACAAAGTTTGTTACTGTTTTGAAATTCTGTTAATGCTTGTGTTAAGTGTTACAACGGCTATATTTTTATATATGTTGACCAAGCATTTATTATGGATCGATTGCATTAATTTCACATTCAATTTACTGCATTAATTGTTACTAACTGCTTTAACTGAATTGTTACATTTGATTGCATTAGTAGCTAAGTTGATTAAAATGCGTCTGAATTATGAAAATCTATAAATTGACGCGAACTTGATCTCTGTAAGAAATTTTGTGATTCTAACAGTTTTGTGATATTTTGCGGAGAGTGCATTCTTACAGAGAAAGGGAAAAAGCTCCAAGAAACAAGAAGTGACTGAAATAACAAATGCATTCTTACTTGTGGATTCTTGAAGAGCAAGTTAACTGCATTTACAAAAGGCTGATCATATATGCACATTTGGGTGTTACTGAAAGATAATAGGCTAGAATCTTGTAAAGATTGGTTTGTGATTTCCCTGTTGTGATTACAGGAAGAAGAGCGTGCTGCGTTCTTGACTTTGAGGGTGGCTCAAAGGGTTGGACTGCAGGAGAGGGGATTCTTGTTGCTAGTCTGTTTAGTATATGCCTATATTTTCATTAGAGGGTTAGAGAGGTGTTTTATATTTTTGACGTGAGGTCGCTATAAAAACCTTGTTGTAAAAACCATGATCATTATAGTGCATTGGCTTCCTGTGGTTGGAAGGACACTGATATAGGCTTGGTCGAACTAGTATAAAAACCCAATGTTTGATCTTTCTATCCATGCACTTTTTATTCAGTTGACTGCATACTGCATTAAATCGATTATATTTCTGCTGCATAAATAAATCTTTTTCCTTGCGTTTCAACAAAGCTTTTAAAGGCATCAACTTTGCAAAAAATATTTTAAAAAAATTTGTTTTTATATTTCACCAATTCCCCCCCCCCCTCTTGGTGTGAGAAATTAAGCATTTATATTTTCAACAGAACTGATACTTGGTCTTACCATTTATTATTACTTGATACGATTCGGTACACTTGCCTAGAGCCCACAAAGCTTTATTCTCCATCTCTACTAGCAAATGCCATGCTTTCCCATAGACTAACTGAAAAGGTGATAAACCCATAGATGTCTTCATTGTCGTCCTATATGCCCAAAGAGCATCATCTAGTTTTTGTGACCAATCCTTTCTTGATGAAGCAACTGTTTTCTCCAAGATCCTCTTTATCTCTTTGTTAGACACTTCAGCTTGCGCATTAGTCTGTGGATGATAAGGTGCAGCTACCTTGTGTCTCACACCATAATGTTTGAGTACTTTTGCTATCTGATAATTACAAAAATGAGATCCTCCATCACTTATAAGTACTCTTAGAGTTCCAAAATGTGAGAAGATCTGTCTCTTTAGAAATTTAATCACAGTGCTGGCATCATTTTTGGGACACGCCAATGCTTCCACCCATTTACTCACATATTCCACTGCCACCAATATGTATTCATTGTTGAAAGATGGTGTAAAGGGTCCTACAAAATCAATACCCCAACAATCAAAGACTTTGACTACTAAAATGCCCTGTAATGGCATCTCATGACGTCTTGAAATAGTCCCAATTCTTTGACACTTATCACAATTTTTGGCATGGTTGTGAGCATCTTTAAACAAAGTAGGCCAATAGAATCCTGACTCGAGAACTTTTGCTGTTGTTCTTTCTTCATTGAAATGTCCCCCATACGGTGAGTCATGACAATGCCAGAGAATTTCTTCTACTTCTTCATTTGTCACACACCGCCTCAGAAGATTATCTACTCCAATTTTGAACAAGTAAGGATCATCCCAAATAAACTACTTGGCATCATGTATATTTTTTTTTCTTTGTTGCCAATTAAGATCATTTGGGATTACTCCTACAACTTTGAAATTAGCCATATCAGCAAACCATGACCTTTGTTGAATGTACATGAGTGTTTCATCTGAGAAGGATTCCCAGATTTTAGCTTCATTGCTTGTGACTTCACTGTTAATCAACCTGGATAAGTGGTCAACAATCAAATTCTCACTCCCCTTTTTGCCACGGATTTCCACATCAAATTCTTGTAATAAAAGCACCCATATAATCAAACATGGCTTAGAATATGGCTTTGTAAACAAGTGTTTGATGGTTGCATGATCCGTGTAGATAATCACCTTAGACCCAATGAGAGAAGGCCTAAATTTCTCCAAAGCATAAATTATGGCTAGAAACTCCTTCTAAGTAGTAGCATAATTCAATTGGCATCATTCAAAACTTTGCTAGCATAATAGATTGTATGACATACCTTCTCTTTTCCCTGACCAAGCACAACTCCTATTGCATAATCACTAACATCACACATTAGTTCAAAATTTTGATTCCAATCTGGAGCTACAATCACTGGAGCCGAAACCTATTTGCTTTTCAAGATGTCAAAGGCTTTTAAACAATCTTCATCCATCACAAAGGGTACATCTTTAACAAGCAAATTGCTCAATGGCTTAGCAATTTTCAAGAAGTCTTTGATGAATCTTCTATAAAATCCAGCATGGCCTAGAAAACTTCTGATTCCCTTCACATTTGTTGGTGGAGGAAGTTTCTCAATGACCTCTACTTTGGCTTTATCCACTTCAATCCCCTTGGTAGAAATCTCAGAGATTGACCAACCAATAACTTCTTTGTTGACTTTCGAAATTTCTATGAGCTTCTTTTCTTCTACAAGGAGCAAAGAATTACTAATGATAACTGGTTTTGTTCCATCTTCTTCTAGAAACACATATTTCAAATGTGATGGCAACATTTTTAACTCCAGCTTCTTTTCTTTAATTTCTTATTTGGTATCAATTTTTCCAAAATGAGCCTCCTCTACTGGAATTTCCTTTAACGTCTCCAAATCCGTTAAACACTCATCAATTAATTTTTCTTCATTTTCATTCAAATCATCACATACTTCAATGAGAGTTCTTTCTAATGGAGAAGAACAATGGAGAAGAACAACGCATCATCGTCTCTGGCACCATACAAAGTTCATCAACCATATCAAGTTGGAAACATGCGTTATCATCCTTAGGGTGTGTCATGACTTTGAATACATCAAAACTCACTTCTTCATCTTGCAGTCTCACTTTAAGCTTGCCATTCTCCACATCAATTAAAACTCTAGCTGTTTTCATAAATGGTCTTCCCAGGATAAGAGGCACATCTCCATTCTCCTCCATTTCCATTATGACAAAATCCACTGGAAATACAAATTTGTCAACCTTTACCAACACATCTTCAACCACCCCATACGGATATTTAAGAGACCTGTTTGCCAATTGAAGCGTCATTCTAGTAGGTTTGAGTTCCAAACCCTTAATTCTTTTGAAAATGGAAAGCGACATTAAGTTAATGCTAGCTCCTAAATCAATCAACGCCCTTCCAACTTCCAACTCTACTATGGTGCAAGGAATAGTGAAAATTCCTGGATCTTTAAACTTAGGAGGAAATATATGTATAATTGCACTACAGTTACCTTGAACTTCAATGGTCTCCTTCTCAATGTATTTTCTTTTCTTTGTAAGGAGTTCCTTCAAAAAATTTTCATATGATGGCATATGTTGTAATGCTTCAGAGAAAGGTATGGTAATCTCCAATTTTTTAAACATCTCCATAAACTGCTCCAGTTGTTTTTCTTTCTCCTTCCTTGAATAGATCTTTGGATAAGGAAGTGGTTTTTCAAACTCTCTTTCTTTTTTTCTCTCCTCTATCTTTTCTTTCTCCCTTTCTTTTTTTTTTCCATCTACCTCTTCTCTCCTTTTTTCTTTCTCACTCTCATTTTATTTCTCTTTTCTCTCTATTTTTCTCTCTTCTAACACTTTGCCACTTCTAGTAATAATGGTCTTACACTCTTCCCTGAGATTACTTTTTGCATTCCTCTCACAACTCTCCATCTTCCTGACCAAGTGCCCAATATGCATTTTCATACTTTTGAATGCAACCTCCACGTTCTTACAATAAGAGACACTCATCTTCATGAATTGCTGGAAGGTTTCTTCAAGCTTTGTGGTTTTCCCTGATGGAGTAGGTTGTGGTTGTCATCTTTGCTGCTGCCATTGAACTAGTGAAGCATTCTGAATCTCTTGTGGTAATAGAGAGAGCTTCTTTGTCACCTCTTCTAACTGCTGAGTGATGATCTTATTTTGAGCGAGTAAGGCATCATGAGATTGCAATTTTAAAACTCCCTGTTGTTGAGGTACAACTCCTCGTTCATTATTGATGAGTCAATATTTTCTCAATTTCACTTAGCTTATTGTGCTAGATTTAATCAGGGAATTGTGCTTAAAAGCTTAAAAGCCGGATTTTTCCGTTTTGCTAATTGGTTTAATGTGACCAAAATTCTTATTTTAATTAATTCTGAAGATTGAGCTAATTATTTGAATTGTTAATGTAGGGAAATGTTGGTAATATTTTGGGACTTAAAGAGAAATTGCCACCAGCAAAAAATACTTAAACTAAAAGAGGGAGGAGGGTGTGGGGTATGAGGGTGTGGATTCATTTTTGGGGGTGCACATAGAGATGGAGACGTGGGAAGACGAGAATGTTTGGCTGCGTAGGACGGTGGAATCCAGCGAAAATAGGGGGCCCACGGGACAACGTTAATTTTTGTTACATGGAACATTCAGCAAAAACTTGTTGACTTGTGGGAGCCGCCACACCTTTGGCTGCGCACAAGTGATTTATTAAACTTGAATGTGGGCAATGGAGAAAACAGCAACTCAAGAAGCCCACACGGCCATTCATCTTATTCAAGCCGTAGTTGGATTAAGAAGGGGCCACATTGAAGCACACAGCACAGTCCCATCCAGCAAACCCGGGTTGTCTTAGGAAAGGAAGCTTTGAAGTCCAGTAGAATTCAAAAAAAGTGGATTGGGATGGCAAGCACGTCACAATTCACGAAAAACACACGTGGTGAATTAAAAAAAGAGAGAAGAACGGTGCGTGAGCATCCATTCGAGCCTTGTAACGGCCACCAAAGCACACATCACACACGCGGGAAGCCGCCGGGAATGCACCCTAGTAACCTCGGTCCAGGGGGGGCTACAAGCAAAGAGTTAGCAGCACGCAGTCCAGCAAAGGAATGGGGCGTGGGGTGTTGGTACCAGCAAGCGTGCAGCACGCCAGGACACGCGAACGATGCGAGCATGGCCGTGTATCCCAGAGGAGTGCATCATCTTCACGCATTGTCCAGCAAGGAATCCCGTGTTGGCGTGCAAAAGTAGCAAGGCATGTCGCGTACAGCAAGTTGGAAGAGCTTCATACGTCCCGCTTGATGAAACGCTCTCCACGGCCATGAGGGGGAGCTATGATGTGCTAGTTTATGTTTGTGGACAGCCAGCAGCATGAGGAAGGAGCGTGCACGAAGAAGCCTTCACCAAGTCCAATCCAACGAATTGCCATCCGCAGAGCTTTGAATGAGGGAAAGTTCTCGTACAGAAGCAACACTGGGGAGGAGATCCAGAGGGCTTTACGGGAATGCGGGGATGCACTTCTTCATTCATTAGGGCAGCCACTCTAGAGAGGGGCATCATCTTTCATTTTTAGAAAAATACGGACACCACATGGAGGGCTACGGATGAGGTGCACATGCGGAGAATGATTTTTGGAGTGCCGTGGAAGACTGCCTGATGGTGTGGTTTTGCACACATGAAGATCCAGCCGGCCACTCTCTCTGATTTATTTCTAGCTGTCGGGGGATGGCTCTTTGCTTTGCTTTTGAATGTTATTTTGGGGTTTTTATGCTGTGCTTGACAAGTTTTTACGTTGTCATAGTGGATGAGAATGAAGCACAATTACTTCTCCGTTTATTATTTTTTTTGCAAGCACAGAGGGATGAATGAAACATCTTGGTTTTTTATTCCAGTAGGAAATGAGTTTTTCTTTTCTTTCTGTAGACCATGTAGCCTACAAATTGTTTTCTTCTTTCTTTTGGCATAAGTAGCTGGGATGATGAAGCTGAGAGAGGAAATTGAGCGGGTGATGTGATGGAACAATGCTGTTTGTGCATGGTTGGATTTGATGTGGTGGAGGAAAAGGAGGAAAATGGTGAGAGATTGGAATGCAGAGGAGCGTACGGAAAGAAGAGAGATGTTTTATTGATTTAAGATGAAGGAGTTTAGGTAGGTGAAATTATGGTTTGTTTGTGCGCTATCGCTGATCTAGGAGAAGGGCACCCATCGCAAACATACTTTTCAAATGAAACTCCCGAGATGGAGAGTGAGAGGGCACGGTGACAATGGAGTGAACGTAAGTGGAAAGGGCCCTTTTCTTTCTGTTGCATGAACACCGAGGAAGTATACAATTAAAAATAACTGGAATGACTAGTTGATTTAATGTGCACTTACTTTATAGTATTTGTAATGGACCTTCATTTCCATTTTAATTTTGCTGGAAGGGCAGGCCCAGAACCCAGTGAACAAGCCATCAACTTTTGCTTAGAATAGAATAGTGCATGTTGTTTGTTTTGGAGTTTAAAGTGGTGATGTGAATGTAGTAGGTGAAGTGGTGTGTGTACGGTTAGTGTTGGAACCTTGAGGGTGCCACGGTGCAGAATGGAAGTTAAAGAGGAGACAGGAGGGCGAAGGGTGATTTGTTTTAGTGGTGTCACGGAAGGGGTTTAAGTTTTCTTTACATATTCAAGCAAGCATTTAATGTTTAATCTCTTTAAGCATTCATTTAAATTGCCCGACATTCTCAGTTTGCATTTAAATTGTTTAGCTCAATGTTGCACTTTTAATTTGGTTAAAGCGTTTTTCATTTTGATGTTCTCTATTTTTCATGGTTGTGATATTTGTTTTAGTGACAGATGAACTTCTTATAAGTGACGAAGCATTTTAATTATGGTTATATTTTGTTTACATCCGTGTTTAATTTTTCCAATTTTAATTTAAGTTCAATTACTGTTAAAAAACACTTCCCAAAACCACCAACTCGGTTGACTGAGACTGACCCAAAAATTTGGGGACTTGAGAGACGACCTAAGTGTCCACTTCCTAGTCTATATAGCATTTATTTATGCACAACCTTTTTACGGGAGGTGCGCAGCCCTCGTCAATCAATTATGGCATCTCATGTCATTAGTAATAAATGTTGTCTAATCAAATTCAAACTTCCTCTGGAGTCTTGAATTATTATTACATCCAATGAGGGCATCTAGCAATCAAGGTTTGGTTGGTGAACCAAGACCTCCAGGAAAAGAGAAGAATGAACTATTGTTTTCTTCTCAAAAAGCCATGATGGCATCTTTCTAACCAAATCTGGTAATATCCCATGCTTGACCTAGAGAGATCTCCTCCATGCCTTGTCTAAAAGGAAGAAATTTCATGCTTTCTTTTTTGATTTTTGGATTGTGGGAAGTACTTGTAGGAAAACTTTGAAAACCCAAGGCTTCCCATCAGAAAGTTATCCTCACGGTTAAAGAATTCAACCATATTATCATGTGCCTCCCAATGACGAAAGGACACAATACATAAGCCTTATCGCTCTTCAATAGTTTTGTTTCCCCGCACACAAATTGATCTTTACAGTGTTGCAAATCTCGTTGAATGTGGTGAGATGATCATATGGACTTTCATGTGATAGCCCATTAAATTGGTTGCTTTTTACCAATTGTATCAACGCCAGTTTCACCTCTATGTTTGCAACATTGACCCTCGGCCTAACAATGCTATTAAAGTGATGAGGGCCAACAACATTGGTGTAATCCGCCAGAGTACTTCTACCATTGTTCTCTCCGTCCATCTCTTCAGGACTTTGGTTAGATCTTTGTGGTGAGGGTTGTAGAAGTGTTTCTGGAGAAGGAAATAATTCTCTAGAAGTTCGGATCGTCCTTCTCCTTCTACTTTTGTCCAATCCTTCAAGAAGAGGTTCTGAAATTTTCTTGCTCCTAGTCCCAATTGTATCCTGCATACGCAAGAACACAAAATCCTAAAAACAATGATTAGCACAAAAAGAAAGAAAAGATAAATGATGGAAGACCATCTAAGACATACATTGGACCTCTTACTAGACGCAATGGCTAAGAAGTTCCAGAGGAAGAAGGATTGTCAAACTTTTAATATTTTGCTTCTAGG